TGGCAGCAATCTCAGTCGGTCTGGCCGAAGATGGTAGGGAATTGGCTAAATTTCCCGTTGTCGCCATAGCAACCGAGAAATTGGGGTCCTCTTATGGGCAGATTGACGAGTCTGTGCACACGCAGAGTCTTGGTCTGTTGCTATTGCCGGTGAAGGTTGTGCATCGGCCAACCAGGAGCCGGACATCAGTGCCAACCGGCGTTACTTCAGCAGACCTCTTCACCTCAGCGTGTTGGGCTAAGAAGTGTGCTGTGCAGGACACAAAAGTGTAGTCTTTTTATCTGCATCGCGACGAGTGATTGCGTTGGAATTGCTATCATGAAACGAAAGTAGGCCTTGTGAAGTGTGTATAGGCAGTAAAAATTTCGCGAAATTCACAATTCTGTCCAAGGATAATGTCAACAGTAGGCTGCACTTCAGAGAGTTGGAAAACTGCTTTGGACGCGCAAGAGGCACCGATACGACAGCGGAAGAATGAGACTGCAGCCTTGTAGATATGAGGAGAAATTGAGGTTCGAAGATCTCTTCAACAAAATACGACTATCGGCGTCGTTATTTCGTTACCTGTCACGATGTCTGTCATGTTGGGGTCGACAGGGAAAATGGGCTCCAAACTCACGAATTCCTTTCGTTTGCACTTTGAAAGGGAATGGGTGCTACAACGACAATTGGAGCAAACGCTGGTCAAGATGGAAGCACAACAGTTGATGGTAGGGTACCCGTTCAGGCATGATCTGGTCTTTCTGAAAGAAGACACTGAAATGAGAAGTTGGCCAGTCTACATTGAATTTATGGATTGAAAGGGGAATTTCCTCAGAATGATCTACCATGTGCCAGGATGTGCGTACCACGCTTTATGCATGTGGATAACATGTATATGTATAATATGATATTTATATGCATATCTGTATAAATATGATAGGATATGATATAGATATTTATGGAAGTTTATTAATTATATATATAATATGATATGTATGAAATGAAATAAGTATACATATATATGCATATATATGATAGGTATACGCATACTATGGCATATATGGTTAGATAAACATATGAATGAAATGAAATTAGTAGGCATATATATGCATATATATGATAGGTATAATCATACTAAGACATATATGTAAAGATAAACATATACATATATATATTATATATTAATTATAACTATGCTATAATATGTATGAAATGAAATTAGTATACATATATATGCATATATATGATAGGTAAAGCATACTATGGCATATATGGTTAGATAAACATATACATATATATAATATATGAATAATATATATAATATGATATGTATGAAATGAAATTATTATACATATATATGAATATATATGTAAGGTATAAACATACTATG